CCATATACTGAGGTATTGAAAAAAATTATGTAACAAGATCCGTTTCTAATCAATCATATACAAAAAATATGTGTTTTTGGTTTTTCAAACTTTTGATTTTCCACGGGAAACTAGAATTAAATTTACTCTCTTTTCTAACAAAAATTAAACATTATTTTACCCATTTCACAGGTTTTCTAGAGCTTTGAAAGCTGAATCTTTTGGTAGCTAAGCGATTTATTTTTATGACTATATGTGAGAGATAAGTCGACTTGAAAAAAACGTTACGTTTTAGGTTCCACTAATAGTTTTTGACGCAGTTTACTATTTCGAAGGTTGCAAAAACGGCATAATGATTTATTCTAAGCCAAACATAGCATTAAAACCTAGACAAAATTTTGCATCTTTTAAGCCTAGAACAAAATTTTAAAAGTTATTTAATCAGATTGAAAAACATCAAGTTCCTAATCTGAGTTTGATGTCAAAAGACTGTAGTTAATGCTTGAAAATTTAATCAATCATTCATTTCTTTTTCTTCTCTAGCCATTTCATGGTGCGATAACAGAGTTTACATACAACGCGAAAGAGAGTTTGAACCAACATATCTTTCGCAATGTTCAGAGTTCTCCTTGTAGTTTTAACGAGGGACTGTTTGAATGTCAGTAGAAGCTTTTCGTGCTGACGCTCAAACATTCTCTCGTTAAAAATTCAAGGAGAACTATGAATAATGCGAAAGATACGTTGAAACAGCTGATCAAAACTCTCTTACATGTTAACTGTGTTATCGCACTATCAAAAGGTTTGTTCTTTTGCATAAGAGTCTAAATCGTTTCTAAAACTGACTCAGTTTTAGAGATTTGACTAAAGACTTCTTTTCGAAGGTGTACTCACTTATTGCTGCATAAGATCATATGAGAGACTTGAAAAGTTAAAAGCTAATCAAACTGTATGTATATAATATATACTTTTCCATTACAAAGAGAAAAGAGATATGAATATCAATAACAGCTTGATCGGTATTCATAACATGAAAATAAAATATAGGAAGCAAATGATTAAATGTAACTGATTAAGTAATAATTTTTGTTCGGCAACTACTTTCCATATAGGATTTGTACAGTAAGGTACTGTAGAATGGATGCAAGTTCTATATGATTTGTCAAGAAGGAATATTCAAGTGATCTGGAGTGAGTTTTCAGTGTGTAGGGAGGTATATAGTCCAAAGTCACGTATACTCTTTATAACAATTGTACATTGGAATTCTTATTTCTAGCTGGCGTTAGAGGATAAGGAATACTCGATAAATTTTGTTTCTTTGTACTTTTAACTTACTCTGGTACTATGATCAGCCAACCAGTAGGATCTCAGAAAGTCAGAGTTTCCATTTAAATAGTTATTGATGAAGGACCTGACTAGCATTGGTGCATAGTGAATACTTTGGGCTATAAACACATTTTATAGAGACATTTGTACTAATAACCACCAGAACTCCGTATGGACTGAAAATTCTGTGCCCATTACAGTCCATGGACTAAAAATCTCTAGTCCAGTCCAATTCGAGTCCATGAAAAACACAGTTTCTCAGTCCATGGGCTCTAGAAAAAATAGTTCATTCGAGTCCACAATATAAAACTATGTTTTTTATTAATTTGTTATTCCTCGATTCGAATAAATTCAAACCTTTCTCTCGAGTTCAGACCGGACCAGGGTATTGAAATGTGAGTACAGTCCATACGGAACTCTGATAACTACATGTCTAAACTTATATCGTGTTCTACCAACCTGCAAAGGTTAGCGTTTAATCTTGAGTTTGTTATTTTCTAAAAGGGCAAATGCAATGAGGGAATTTCTGTAATGTATATATTTACATAATGTGAAAAAATCTGTAACTTGGTCGTCCAAGATTGTAGAAACTTGACCAGCATCTCATTTTGTGGAAAATTCAGGGATCTCTATCTCAAGACCCCAAGGTGTAGCATGACATTTCTTCATGGAAATATATAGAGCTCGACGCGTTCTTCCATTTTATACCAAGTTCAAGATTCTGCGTTAGATAATGTGGTCCGCATACGTTCCACAAGTTCGGCAAAAGTCGCCGAAAACGCATTCTTCCGATGCGACGATAAAATGGCTATAACTTTTTTTCTAATAAGGCTACAAACCCGCAGTTTGCTCCATTCGATTCAACTTGCTGAGCTCTATAATATGAGATAGTTCTTGCCACTGACGTCAAAGGTCCATGCAAATGGCAGTAGGTTTTATATGGATTGAGTCTATCCGTCGACGCCGAAACTTCACCAAAAATTCAAGATCTCGCGTTTCTCTTGGAAGTCCAAAGTTTTTCTTTTGCTGTTTTATCACTCCACTCTTCTAGTATCTACCCTGAAAGGCTGAGCCTTACTGAGCTGGTTACGCGCGAGATAATGAATGGCGAAGTAGAAGCGGTAGCGCCACCTATAAATCGATAATAAAACGACCTCTAGAGTCCGGACTTGCACTGCTTTTTAGCCTGACCCAAGTTGTATTTGTGCTGAAATTTTCTCGTCTCTAAGTCAAGCTGTTAGAAAATAACACACTAAGTTTTTTGCAATGATAAGACAAAAGGGAATATTATTCGAAATATAGTTTATTCATCAAATATTCACCTTTTATATATTCGAGGAAGAGAGTGATCACTCTAAACTTATTACGTATTCTGCCAACCTGCAAAGTATTTTCAGAAAAATCGAATGAACGACTTTCGATCTGAAATTTCAGAATCGACAAAATTTATTAGTTAGGTATTGAAAGTGTCGGTACAGTCCATACGGAACTCTGGTAACTACATGTATGTACTTCTTTTTGCGCAAGTGCTTTTTAAGAAACGACCGTGCTTTTTTTATATCTCGAAAATGGGTATTTGTCTTAATTGTTACATGATTATTTCGGAGATTCAATCCAATCGTTTTTTCGAAAAAAGTTTGTTATATGTACCTAGAAGACATTTCAGAATAGAATGGAGGTCACTATATTTTGAATAGCTTTCGAAAAAAAGTCATGCTGACCCGCAGTTTTCACGGTTTCATAGAAGAAACCGGGCTCCATTCTGTTCTAAAGAGTATAGTACTTGTGCTGTCAAATTCATGTTATAAAACAAGTAACTCTAGATGTCTGATATAGTCACTCTTGTTAAAGAGTTTTGCTTATGATATTATTTAGTAAAAATAATATAAAATACCACTTACTCGCTTTCATTTCAAGGCAGAATGACGTTTTATGTGGATAGAGTTTTCCGCGAAGAAGGGTTATTTTTCTATAAAAGAATTTTTCATGGTAATCTCTTTATGAATAACTATGTTTCTCTTTTTACTTCACAGGAATTATTCTTATTCAATGATGTCTCTGCTAGTTAAGATAATTATATTTCTGCTTGAATCTTCGTTTATAGTATGTCAGAGTAATACGTGCAATTGTTATTTTTGTTACGGACAGAACTGTCAACTGTATTTAATTGGACAAATATCATTATGGCAATGTACACCGGATTCATGCTCGCAAGCCTGTCGAACTGAATATTCCTGCCTTTCAAATGGACAAAGCAGTGGCGTATGTGAAGCGCTTACGACACCAAGAATAAGCACGGTTCAGGCTCGGTTTACTTGTTCTTGTAGTTGTTGCAATACTGGCACATCTTGTACGCCGTATGTTATCGGATCGTCAACAGCGTACACATGCTCACCGCAAGCGTGCACAATCGCTTGTCTTGATCGATATAATACTACCTGTGTTGGCTCGCAGTACGGTCACACATCAGGCACTTGTGTTGGAGAGATTACAACAACAACGAGTCAACAGGGTTACAACTGTTTATGTCAGTGCTGTAATCAAGGTTATAATTGCCAACCGTACATAGTGGGAAGTGTTTCAGCCTCGTCTTGTTCTATGTGTGAAAGTATATGTATAAATCAATATCCCTCTCTATGTTTATCTTATCCAAATGGTCGGACACAAGCTCAATGTACGACGTCAACAACAACCTTCTCACCAGCGAAGTATCAATGCAGCTGCGACTGTTGTAGTACCGGCCAAATGTGTCAAACGTATAGGGTTGGTGCTGCCTTTGCTTCCGTATGCACAGTACAAGCATGCATACAAGCGTGTCAGTCTTACCATCCTTCAACTTGTAGATCATATCCGCAGGGACAAACAGCAGCTATCTGTACTGATAGTGTCACAAGTTCAAAAAATCGAGCTTATTTTAATTTTTCTTTAAATTTAATGTTTACTTGTCACTTATTTTACTTTATAAAATAGAGCGGCAATCGCGCAATGATAAAACTGAATAGAGGTTAAGATTCTTTCCAGAGATCACAGTACTACATAAAGTCGAGTACTCGTTTGTCCGCTTTCTGTACATCGAATGGATATTAGAGAATTGCAAGCAGAATGTAACAGTCTGGAAAAGTAGTGGCTATGGGCGTAGAATTAAGTAATGACTACATGAAATTTAGCGATTCTTCCAGGATAGATCGTTTATGTCTGTGGCTAGCTGGTCTGCTAGAATCAACAAATTGAAATATAAATTGCTTTCAGTATCTTCTAGCAAAGTGAGCTGTTTTGCTATGTGGTCACTTTGCATGAGCTTACGTTAAGATGTTTCTCCTGAACTGTCCATTATTCTCGAGTAATTAGAGGAGACTAACGAAGTGCCCATAATATACTTTTACTTGTCAGTTGTGCTTTCTTCTAAGCTACATAATCAACTATGAGCAAGCGGGGACTGTAATGCTCGTTGTAGCTCAGTGAAATCATCCAGTCGGTATCGGTTCCTGCTTTCGGAGAAAGTTCTATATTGATAATGAAGAACACTCCGAATAAAAACACTACAGTTTATCAGTTTTACTGAGTAATACTGTAACACTACTTGTGCGATTTCGTCATTATGGGATAGAATATATTCCTTAAGTAAAAACTTTACACCTACGTCAGCACAATTATATTTAGAAAAACATGTAAAGTCGAAATTTTGAGTGATCGTATAATTAATATTTTTTATAATAAATTAGTTCACCAGCTTCTCCAGGTGCCGAGTTTTCACTTGGAACAAATAATGTTACTAATATTGCTCGTTGACCATCAATAGTGATAAATGTTATGGTTGGATTTGCAAATGCTTGACTACCTCCGTCTGTTTCAATATTCAACTGATCAGCATTACCAGTTTGGTAATCATATATGAATGTTCGCCATGTACCAAAATCTTTCTTTGCATATTGTCCTTCAATGAGAGTAAAATCATACCCATCGTAAGTTACCGCATCTCTATCACCAATATTTCCTTTAACACCCCAATGCAGTAATGCATTATCCAAATTTTGCTGTTTCGTTGATTGCCACTTTTTAAAATTTATTAATGTTCCACGAGCTTGCCGATCAACATCACAATTCCAATAATAATGATATCCAATTTCAATATATGTACTATTTGCTCGATATATATTCGGTGTACCTTCAGCACATACAGACAATGTGCGCAAGGCATCATAACTCTTCGCTATTATACCCTGTTGTAAATCTGACCAAGTTTTGAAATAAACGAATTTTAAATGATTTCTTGGTTCTTGTTCCCAGATGAGAATAAAACCACCATCCGATGAGATAGAAATAGCTGGCTGCGATGCTTGACTAGCTAATTCTCTAATCCATGTCCATGTCATTAAATCAGTTGATGTTGCAAGATTCACTTTCGGAATGCCATTGATATATGTATGATAAACAGCGATAAACTCATTGAATATTTCTGAATTTGGAATAATTTTTACACAATCCATGGTATGACCAACATGATCTTTTGCACTATACAATCGTCTATCGGCTTGTTTTACATTGGCAATGTACCTGCTTAATTCTTGACGAGGAGCATCAGATGGTGGCGGAGTGGTATGAACCGAAGATAGGCCATAAAGAATGGATACAAACAGGACAAGGAATATTTGAAATAATGACATTTTTAATAGTGAGTAATATTTGTAAGTAAAGAAAAAAACGTTTTACTGTGCCACATAGTACATAAATTATGTATAGTAGTATCATAGTTATATACGCTATATCTTGGGAGGGTGAGACACCTGTTCTTTCAATGTTTTCTATATATTTATTTTACTTGATACTCGTTTTTGTATCAAAACAACAAAAGTGTTCTATCATATAATCTTTTTCCGCTACCGACAAAAAAATGCCGAAAAAGTTTCATTTTTTTAACACTGCAGAATAGGGGAGGCCATCAAAATTCGCATCGAAAAATTTATTCACCGGTGAATATTTTCATTGGTAATTCACCGGTAATTTGATTGGATGTCTCTATAAAATGTGTTTATAGCGCAAAGTATTCACTATGCACCAATGTTAGTCAGGTCCTTTAACTGACTGCTTGCAAGTTGGAATGAACCGCAAATATTACTGATTATTTTACGCGTTTCTTCATCAAAGAAATTTTTTGGGTCTAAATCGACTTTAGCGCATTATGCATCGTGCTTCACGAGCCGAAATAGGTGTAAAACAAGTAGAAGACATATCTACAGGGGAAAAAAATTGCATTATTTAAAACAGTACTGGAAAAAGTATAGACACCGTCGACTTCTGTACGGCATGTTTTTATGAAACAGCATTCAATTTACAGAAGGTCACATACCACCAAAACCAGCAAAATTAACAGGAAAAAAAGAGATTCCGTGAAGGCCTTTTGTAAATTGAATGCTGTTTCATGAAAATATATCCTATAGACGTCGGCGGCGTTTCATTTTGTTCAGAACTGTTTGCTCTATATGACAGAGCTATTCGCACAGAATTTCTCGAGTCCATTCACGGACTTGGTTTCTGAGACTTTAGTTTCTCAGAGATCTTCCGAGTTTTAGAAGTGGAATGTTCATATATATCAAGTCAGATTGGAAACTCTTTCGACTATTCAAATGTTTTTTCAGTGTTTTTCCTGCTTTTATCGTTGAGGCGAAAAATCAATTGTTTCAATACTTTCAACAAACAAATTGTTTCTATACTTTCGTCTAGTACTGTAACACCTGTGAAATAACGATGACCAGAAATAGTAAATGGTTATATTAGTGAACCCTTAAAGCATTTCCGTAATTAAAGAGCGAGATATCATACCGCTGTCGTGAAAGTCTATAGCATGAGAAAAACGGCGATTTCTTTCTAGTTTAGTTATTCGATCCTTTGTTCAGAATTATCTTGAATCAAAAGCTCTTAAACAGCATTTAATTCACTAAAAATACCACCAAAATCAGCAAAATTAATGGGAAAACAAGAAAGATATTTCCTCAGGATCTTTTGTAAATGGGATGCTGTTTCATGAAAACAGGTCGTTTGCACTGGACTCAGCCTTTTGGAGACTTTTCCGTGTAGCGAAAAAAATTTTTCAAGAAAAGTACCAACAAATTTTCTTCATCCTTCTTTGTTGTCATAATAATTGTTTTACTGCGTTTGCTGAAAAAATCGACTTCTTTTTCTTCTAACGGTAGTTTTCTTTTATTGTTTCTTTAATCATGACTAAGCTTTAGCTCCCTTTGTAGAGAATGTAATGAAATTTTTAGGCAAAGAATAATTAGCAGTCGAAAAGGTCGTTTCCCCAAAAAAAGATACCTTTTAATTTGAAAGTTTTATTTTTTAAATTTTTTTCCGAAAAATTAAAAAGAAATTTCTGCGTTCTTCTGATTGAATCATTCAAAATATCGAAAAAAAGAGCAGACAAAAATTAACTTAAAAGAAGAATGGTAAGTATTCTATGGAGGACCAACGCGTGACAGCTTTGTTTATCGACTGTATATCTTTTAAAAGAACAATAATCTAACATATTTCTAAAAGTGAATCAAACTACTATCACCATAATCGTTAAAGATCGTAACCTATTTCGCGATGATTGTGAATTAACAGAACCCATGTTCGTCACAAATCACTTCTTGTGTAAAACCACCAAAAGATCATATTACATGACATAATCTTGGATAGTTGATTAAAATGATCACAGGCAAAACGTAATTTTAAAGCTCATGAGAAAATAATCTTGACGTCTTATTCATGACAATGAAAGGGCTCAAACCTATCTTTCTTCCATGTTCTGAACTTTTGAAACAATTCAGTAGTTACATTCGTCTTGTGATACAATTGAGTATGAGCATGAATAACAAAACAATTCAAAATTTCCTCTCCTTTTATGGTGTTACGAGTGTTTTTTGTCTTTTTATTGAAATTTTATCTTTCCCAAAAGATACAGACATGCAAGAAGCATAAAGATACAGCACATGCAATTAAAGTTATCGAACCGAAGACATGACATGACTATACATCACTTTAGCCTCTGAATGTGTGGACCAGTCTGTTGATAATCCATCTTCGTCGCAGGAAGAATCGACTTCGTCGTTTTCTCGAGATGTTTATTCAGCATCACTATAACTAACGCAATTATGATCGGTAATTCCTATTCCATATTTGCTGCAATTCCCGCTCACAGAACGTCTCCAGAAGAAGTGTGGTCGAATTCTGCCTCTTAATATGTGTTGCTCTCGATAATTATTTTTCAATTTTTGTTTGTTTTCTCCCAGTTTTTTTAAAGTTGTGTTTCATCTACGTAGGTGAAGTTAGCACCATATTCGAGTAAAATCTATCCATATTCGTTTAGGAACCTGTCCAAACCGTTCCAGCCCAGTTTCAAGTAGAACTCGACAAGCTCTACCAATCGATAGAGCTTGCTATAGTCGATTGGTGGTAGACTGGCTATAGTCCAAACTATGTGGAAGATAAACCCAAAATACCCGCATTTTGCACTATGTGAATGCTGCTACATGTTTACTAAAATCAGTAGTATGGGTAAAAGCGTCTAAGATTTGTCTAGAAACTTGTTTCAGAAGTTGTCCAGAAGAATATATTCGACCTGAAAAGAACTTTTTGTATTTTAGGGAAAAAAAATGAAAGAATGAAATCAAACCTTCAAAGTTTTTCGTTTCAATGTCAAAAGCTGGTCACAAAAGAGGACGCTCTTCAATCGTGACAGTTTGACAAAAGCGACGAGCTGATGTTTCAAAAGTTTCATTGGGTAACGAATCAGATGTTTTAAGAGTCTTCGGTAAAGATTTTTCCTGAACGCGACGACTTTTGGCTCTACTAAAAAAAGTATGTGTATGAGCGAAATGAGGAACCTTTTAGTGAAATACCACTTTTCTTTTGGTTCAGACAGGCCCATGCAGGTTGCCTGGCCTGTTTCGAGCCCTGCTTCGTTGTTTCTTTTGAACTCTTTTCTTTCCCAAATCTCCTCTACATCCATATCTTTTGGTTTTCCTTTTCGATTTTTTACATTTTGACTAACTCCAAATTTATCTGCTTTTAACTGAGCCTGAATGCTACGATATAGTGATACAATCACCTCTGCTGGTCGCAGATTTGTTTTTCTTTCAAAAGTAGAATCTTTTAGGACACAAAAATAGGATTCTGTTTGAGCATTTGTTAGGCGACCTTGTTCGTATTTCCGAAGGTCAACTGGTACTCGATCATTTGAATACCGGTCTTCGAATTCAGTAAGCAAAGACGTTCATAACGGTAAATAAGCGAACCATTTGTAAAAAACCAAAATGATCCAACGATAGAAAAGAGGATTGGTCACATTTTCATATTTTTTCGTAGAATCTAATAACTCAGATAGTTTCGGCGAAATACTTTTTATTAACTCTTATATATAACACATCAAAGCACACATTAACTGTGCTAATTAATAATAGGTAGTATATATATTCTCTCCGGCCTTATCGCTTGCTAATATGGTTTTAACCCTTTAACCCCTCTTGGTCCTTGGAGTGACCGTTTGTAGATCGATGGCAAAAAATTAAGAAAGATTGGAATTTAAAAACTTTGGGAAGATGTCTTGTAGTGAACTCCATAAGCTATCGATTGGTAAAAAAAGTATTTTGTTTCGTTGGTTTGTCTCCGAAAAAGATGAATTACAAAATCGATGACTTTTAAAAAATCACAAAAATTGGATTTCTTTTCGGAAAATATTTTTCTTCCAACAGGCAAGATACATCTTGATAACCTATTTTGTGGTATATAACGACAATAATGTTTACTACCAATATCAATGCCTTTTGAAAGTTTCAGAAAAGCCAGGTAGATAAGAGATGATATGATACAGAATGGTCACTCCAGTGACCATTGGCGGGAATGACTTGAAAAAGTCCCATGTTGGGCTTTCATAAATTTGATATAGTTCGACCAAAAAACGTCGCAGAGAGTTCGGGACATCTCATTCAGTAGAGAATTGTTTGCTCTATCATTCTACGTAGTCTGAAAAAATTTTATTCGCAAGTTCTAGGTGCCGGAAAACTAGGGTTTTGGTTTTCTAGAAAACTCCATTACTGGGAATCCAGTGATGATTTTTATTTCCACAGATCCTAGTTAGCAACAATTTTCCCTACTCAAGCCACTATTTGAATTCTTTTTAGCGTCTATAGTTGCGGAAAAAAATCGAAAATAGTTGATCAATTTTTGTAACCACTATAGTTTTCCAGCACCTAGAACCTGCGAATAAACTACGTAGAATGATAGAGCAAACAATTCTCTACAAAATGAGATGTCCCGAGCTCTCTACAACGTTTTTTGGTCGAACTATATCGAATTTACGAAAGCCCAAAATAGGACTTTTTCAAGTCAGTCTCCCCAATGGTCACTGGAGTAACCAAACTACTCTGCACAAACGAGAGTGCGCCTGACCGATCTGCCCATACTATTGCCATATTGGAGACACCAGTACTCTATTCCAGTAGTTGTTTCATCAGTGGCTCTTCTGGAACCGCTGTGGGGGAGTAAAGGGTTAAAAATCACTGTTGTCGTATTAAATGAGTATTCCATAAACGATAGGTGTAGGTGATCCTAGCGGTAATGGCATGGGTCTATCAGCAGCACCATGGCATACTACATATCAAAAAAGAATGGCGTATACCATCCAAACAATGCTTATAATGAGCATGAATGTTCTCTACCATAGGCAAGATGAATATGTCATACTCATAGATGTTATCAAAAGCGAAAAAACTTTCATTACAGTGCACGATATATGAATATCTTCACTCTTTACTATTATTATCACTAATTTATGGAAAACTTATTACACATCATTTTCAATGTCTACATTTTTCTTCTCAGAACTAAGAAATATTCTCTTATAGACTAAAATGGATCAAATCCGATGGGACACGTAAAAACAACTTCGATAGTCCATGGTCGAACTTTACACTTTGAATTATCTAAAAGACTTTCTATATCGATGATCGAGCTTTACTCTTTGATTTGTCTAAAAGACGGTTAGTTGTTATCATTCCCTAATTCGAAAATACATTTTTGAGTATACGTTATTGATTTCATCTTCTTTTCCGATCTGTATGAAGTAACCACAGGCAAAAAATACAAAATAAATAAACTGTCATCCCCCTTTCCTGACCCACTTGAAAAATGTATACCAGGAGTGAAATGTATATCCGAGACAGAACATCGAAGAAGAAAATCGATGTATTCGAATATGTTCTTCTATGGGTTCTAGAAACTCTGGTTTTCTGCAGGGCACATTATGACCTCTCGAAAAAATGGTCCGATCGACGTGAAAATTTTAGCACAGATACTTTAGACTCTAGCTCAGGTTCGTTTTTCTTCTATTCGAGAAATAAACTTTCCTTCTCCAGATATTCGAAAAATACTAAAAATCCTGTATAAAAAAACGATTTTATATTTCAGAAACTTCAAAAACAACTTTCTCACGCCGAAAGTTGAACTCAAAAACGCTTAAAAACAACGAACCTAAGATTATTGATGCGATGGAATTCGGTAATTTTTCGAGAAATGGCAGTTATTGAGCATTCGCATGTTTATTCGTCTTCTTCTACTCTTTATGGATATTCATTCTCTCTTCATAAATTTGAAAAATAAAATATATTCAGTCCGTTCCAGCCGTCATTTTATTCAGGTTCATCTTCATATTTTTCATTCTGTTTCCAGACATTGAAAGAAAATGAAGGTTCGACTGTTGATTTGTACATTTCGAAATATTTCGAAGGATTATTTTTGGGCCGTTACTCATCAAACTTAAATAACGCTGAATATATACACATAATAACTGCAGCCAATTGTAACACGAAAACTTTAATTTTGCTAAGAAGTCCAAAAAATTGATGTTTTTCTTTTTGGGATCGAGGTGTCCGCTGCCCATGTATAATACAGTGTTATTTTTGAATCATACGTCTATTTTCTTGCTTGTTTGGTTACTCATTTTATATAGAAATTTTACCGTTTATAACGTATACGAGGTATATTGCAATGGAGAAATCATAAAACTTTTTGAAAAAGTTCTTTTACTTTTGCACATAAAGTAATATAATATCTGAACGTCTGAATAAAATACACCTCCTCGGATCACCATTTTTCTCCATCGGAATATATACTATTTGAGACACTTTCTCCTTTGAAATCGCTGACGAGAATTCATCTCGGATAATAACTGGAACAGTTAGAAGTTAGGCAAAATCCGCTAGAAAAACAAAGAAATTGCACTTCCGCTACAACAGTAGAGCCCTTATTACTGTTTACGGACATTACCCCCGGACGGGCGGTTTGCGCAGCCACTCAGATCTACAAAATGAGGTTGGTCTAAACGTTTGCAGCGACAGTCTATGTCATGATGGTATGTTTCTTATGGATTTACTCATTTATATATTGTACTATGTAGATTTTTCAGGAGCATTTGAAATAAAATCTAATATTCACTTAGAAAAAGCTAATAAATACCCATAAAAGATGAACATTTGAAGAAGAACGTTCGAGCATTATTCAAGCATGTATAGTTCGAATTTTTGATGATTCTATTCAGTCTTTTCAGACGAACTGAACTTTCTTATGCGGAACGAGAAATGGAAGTTCTTTTTTGACTGAAATGTGTGAATGAACATTGGAATACATTCCATCGCATCACTACCTGAGATAGGATCTGAAGCATCTGTGGTAAAAATTTGAACTCGATCGGACAGACCATCCTTTTTGAGGAGTCGTAATAGGATCCGATTAAAGGGCCTATCAAAAAAACCCATAGTGAGCAAAACAGGTGTTGTATACAGGGCTCTGTTTTTCAGGGCATTTGCGATGATGCTTATAAGGCGCAAATAATGCAAACTTCGCGCAAAATTTTCCTTCGGACTTACTATACATCATCCAATAGAGCGTTTCCGGCTGATCGCGAATATATACTGTTTATCTTTCAGAAATATTCTTTTAATGCCGCAAAATTGAAAAAACTCCCAGGTTCTCGAACATCTAAAACCCTCTAAGTTTGAAAAAGTTTGAATTTTCGTTTTATTTGACGATGCGGACTCTTCGAACTATTTTTTTCTGACTGAAGCTGAACTTTCAGCGGAACTGACGACATGTAAATCCCAGGTTTGTCTCTTGACACAAAAAAGTAGATAGCATCGCAAGATTTCTTCTACGTAGCGTAGAGGGTCGGATAGTGACACAAGTAGTGACATCTATGCTGGACGACTTTAACTGCAAAATTCATCAAATACCACTTTTCTACTCAGGCTTCAATGCCGAATCAGAAAAAAGGGTTTGAAAAAGCAGATTTTGTATCTTTTTTAACAAAAGTTATTCAAAAAACAACCAAGTACGTTCTATTTTGAAACAGATAGTAGTCACAAACTAATGGAGAATTCGCAAGCGAAGGTTGCCTAACCTAGATTGTCACCTAAACTAGTGTGAAAATGAGAGAGAACTCGCAATCGAACATAGCTTGTACAATACACATAATTTCATACCCAATACACATCGGTTTCAGTGGTGTCCTTTAAGTTGACCGCTTGTGAGATGAGATGAGACGCTAGACTGTCATGGCGTGAGATGTGAAAAATGCTCATCTCACGGGCGTCTGATATGTCTTGGAGTCCTGCCTATAACCTCGAACAAAGCATGCTAAAAATATGCGGGTGTTCTCAAATGAAAGAGGACAGGTAGAACACCAAGTGCCAGAGGGATTTTGCGACTGCGACCACTCGAGTTAAGTCTTTCCTATAGGTGGTGCCTCGAAAAGGTCTCGCCCCATTGAATTTGGTATAAGTTTAATTTTCCAGTGTCAAGTTTCCAACAGTGAAAACCGCAGATCTCTAGCTACTTGCGTCGCGAAGTTAATCAAAACACATCCAAGTGCATTGCTTTTCTGTGTCAATAGTAGTCTCGAACTGTGGTCATCTATTCTCTGTGATGTAAAGGAGTTGAGAGACGATTCTTAGTTTGTGCGAAAGCTCGAGTCTAGGCACTTCTGCTCAGGTAAACTCAAAGACTACATTTGGTAATGTGGTGAAAAATTGTTTCATGCCAACAAATTTTTTTATCTAAATTTGAGACAAGCTTTTCCTAGCAATAGAAGGACGATATCAAGCGTTGAAGATTCAATATTTATTAGTTATTGACGCCAATTCACACAGAATATTGAAACTTTTACTTTCAGCATTATTCAATTCCATGATATATGATAGCGCAATATCGGCTCACTACTCAAGCTTAAACGGTTCGTCAGTTGTTCGCCGATCAGGAGTATCTGCTGCATGCCAGCACCATACACGCTGTCGAGGGCTTTGCAGAAGGATTTCCATTCGATTCAATTTATTCTTCTTTTGGCAGATGGAAAAGCACAGGAAACAGCAAAAGAGAAAAACCGCTACACTGCACCCCTGACAGACAGAGAGAAGATAGCAGAAGACACACACAGACTGATCTAAAGAAATAATAATAAACATAAAATGGACACGGACAGAACAACACAGAGACAAACACGAGAGAAGAAAAAAAAGACACGAAATGTTTAAAAGTGAAAGGGTAAGATGGCATGCAAAGAGAAAGTCACAAACTGCTCAACAACAGGGAATAAAGGGCACATCAATGCTGCTGGAAACTCAAATCGGAGTTTTTATTGGCCACACTAGAGGCCTGAAAGAGTAAACGCTTGTGTCGTGCCGACCAAACATATCCAGATAGTAGCGATACCACTCGCTCTGAAAGCGTTCCTGCGGATCGTACTGTCGCTTAAGGCGAAGAAATTCGGCAAACTGCGGATAGCAGGTTTCGACCTGTAGGCGGGTGGCGTATTTGTGATAGGTTAAATAGTAGCTGCCATCGCGCTGAATAGCTAGATCAATCAGGCGGCGAAAGGCGTTAGCAGAGTGTTCTATTCCGGCGGGTGTGTGAACGGTATTTAGATTGAAGATGGTACAGGCATAGGACTGTTTGGCCCAGGCCAAAAAACTTTCGTTGTCCTGCTGAATCAACCTAATAGTCCCATAAACCATGTTAACCTTATTGGCCCGAAAATCTTCTCTGACTTCGGCTAGAAAGTCGGCCAGAGCGGAGCGGGGTACATAAATTTCAGTGATGATTTCGGTGGCCCGATCTGTTGAACCGAGGCGATGATCAAGGTCGTGGTGGTAATCGTCCAGATAGATACTAAACTGGTGGGTATCGGACGCGTAAACCTGGCCGGAGGTGGAGAGGTAATAACTAGTGTATTGGCGAAACGCCTCAGCTTTGTCAGCATGAGAGAGATAAAAAAGATCGTTCCAATGGGTTTCGGAAAGCTCTTTTTGACTTTCTGGCAGTGGGGTGGCCAGATCAACAGGGCGATAGCAAGAAAAGACGCCCCGCTTTAGAAAATCGTCAGATTGCTCGTCGGTTGAAAATTGGAAGTCGCCGTAAATAAAACCGGCTTGGATACGCTGATCAAAAGCCTCCATTAGTTTGTCAACCGTGATGAGTTCCACCACTCGCTCTACTTTTTGCCGGGGTAATAATCGCAATGTTACCGAATAAATCACTCCAAACAAGCCATAGCCGCCGCTGGCCAGGCTGAACAGATCGCTGTTTTCCTCGCGACTGCACAGGCGAACCTTACCTTGCGCGTCAACTAGGGTGAAGGATTCGACATCAGCGATGAAGGGCCGCATCTGTAATCCCCGGCCATGGGCATTGCACGCCAGCGTTCCGCCGATTGACAACCGATCTGCGCCGGTTTGCTTTTGAGCAATGCCCCACTGCTGCGACCAGGGAAGCTCTTTTTGCGTTTCGACGAGATAGCCAATCAATTTCGGCCACTGTATCCCGGCTTCAACTTCAACCAGGCCCGTTGTCCCGTTAAAGTTCAGCACCCGATTCAGTCCAATAGTATCTATCAGTACCGTATCGGTACCAAATTGTTGGCCGCCCATAGCATGCCGTCCTCCAGCGATGGAGATAAATTGATTCTGTTCCACAGCCTTGAGGACAGTTGCTTGGATAGCCTCCAGCGAGTCCACCTTCACGATTTCGGCCACTTTTATAGGGTTTAATTGCGAATGAATGTCGTTCACGACGAGGGTTGACTGAGACGACATGGTCTGGCTTCTGAACGGCTTTTTCTGAAAAAACAGGGAAGGAGAGAATTTTCAGCAAATGTTTTAGAGGAGCAGTAGTGGAAAAAGAGGACTTGATCTTTCTCCGTAAAATGTAAACAAATAAAATTGGAGGTATCTAGAACTGTGTGGCTGCTCTCCTCGAACTTTAGTTTTTCCAAAACGGGGAAAGTTTTTCCGGTGGGTTTCTCGCAAAAAAATGTATATGGTTCATCTTAGATATTTTCAATATCTGAGATTTGTAGTTCGTTTCGAGACCTATCGAAATCACTGTTTTGATGTCAAGAAGAAGTAATCTTTCACAGAAAACATCAGAAAACAAAAGGTGCTGTAAACTTTTGTCCAACACATTCTCAAAAAAGTGTGTAAAAGAGGTTCTACAGATGTACGAAACCTTAAGAGCCATTCCACGTAAATCACGACCGATCGTTCTCAACCGATGCTCGCCGATTTGGCTAGTTCTTACATATGTTGTAGAGGCAACATTTTGATGAATATCCATGCAAACCGATCAAAAAAATATTGCTTCTTCCATGAGATATTCTCTTTTTACTGAAAACCCTAACGAAAATGTGCACCGATCGCGCATTTTTGCCCATAGCAATATCTGAATACCAGGCCTTCATCTGGTCTTGGTAAAACTTTCGAGAGAAATGGAGGTATCTTTGCCGAGATATTGCTTTGGGCAAAAGAGCGTGATCGGTGTACATTTTTATTGAGGCTTTCAGTAAAAAAGGGAATATCTCAGGAGGAAGCAATATTTTTTTGATCGGTTTGCATGAATGTTCAGCAAAATGTTGCCTCTACAACATATGTAAGAACTAG